TTAATGGGGGGCAAACAGGGGCTCAATGTTTTCCACATTAGTAAACAAGATAAAAGAAGCAACATGTTGAACATAATTATATAACACAGACACGACCGTGCGTTCCAAATTAATGTCCTTAATACAACAGTGGAAGAGACAAGTACTCGTTGAACTACAATAGTCTCAGATATATAAAGTCTTCGTACTCTATTCGTTCATCATCTATGGTAACAATGCAATATTAAAAAAAAGAAGATTCGACGTGGAAGAAAAAAATTGAAGAAATTGGAATATGATAGCTGAAAAACCGTTGGAATTATGGTAATACATCATTTCTTTTTTCCTGTTCCAATTGTTAGCAGCTCGAAGCTTCGGAGAGTATCATCCTGGGCAACTCTTGAGGCTGAAGCACGAGTAAAAGAAGATGTCTTGGACTCAATACCTGGTTGTAATCTTTGGGTGGTAGATAGACGACCACTGCCAGACCCCAGCCGCCTATGACGATTTTCACTGTGTTCCCCTGAGGAGCTTGGCCTGCTGCTCAACAATACTGGCCTCTTTGAACTACTACCAGGTCGAGACACCCGTCCTCGTTCAGAATCAATGTGCTAGAGAATGAATATGCGTGCTTATGAGATTAAAATTCAAAGAGAAACAAGTAACAATGGCTTTGCTTAAGTACACTAATGGTCACTAAACTTTTAACGAGATTTCGTATACTGTTTCAAATCAATAGCTGAACTTAAAATTTGTTCCACTAGTACTTTCTTCCATTTCTGTTAGTTTGACTACACGAAAAACAGCATTTTCATTAGTAAAACAAACGGATATGAACGGACAAGTAATGCTATTCATTCTGGTGATGATCATCACCAGTTTAGGCGGCAGTGAGCCCCCTAATTCATTGTTCAATGAAGTTGTGATGCATTTTAATGCATTGGACAAAGAATAGTAGGCCCACTACCACCTAGACTGGTGTAACAAAGTTTATGTTCCATGACCACTAGTGTTTTTAACCCCCAGTAACAACGGAAGTAAATAAAGTATAAACAAATTGAAACTTAAAAGGTTAGTACGGACCACATCTTTTGATGATGGTGCATCCTCTGTAGATCTATGCCTTGAGTGATCTCCATGCATGCCTGTACTAGAACCATTCCTTCTAGCAAATGCCTGCACTGCACCCGAGAATCTGTCTCGAACTTCTTGCTTCACTAGATGACACAACATTGCAATCATTTAATGGCTTGACAAATTTACTTCATTATGTTACATCTATAAAACAGGGACTTTGTGGCGCATGCTGCAGGCAGGTACCCTATCATGTTTTCTTATAGTGAAATAAATGAATTGGTTCTTCAAATATTTACAAAATATTTTATTTCACATATTTCAGCACATAATAACAAAAGGGAAGGTGAAAGCGGGGAATCTCAAAGAAAAGAAAACTATTCTGATGCTGTTTCACCCACATTTACACCCACCCCACCCCCCGCCTTCTACTTCACTTTGATCACAACTCGGGTTGGGGTGGGGGGTTGGGGGGTGCAGGCGGCAGTTTACAAATGAGCAAAACACATCTACACTATTCTCGGTCAATTTTAGAGCATGTTTGGGAAAAGCTTTTAAGTATTTACAAGTTGTGGATCCCACCAAAACCAGACCTATCCACTACCCGCACCCCACCAATTCATGACCTGCAATCTTCAAACGTAAAAGTGTGCTTGAAAACTCCAAGCGACCCACCACCATTAGAGCAAAGGGAATCTTAAAGGAGTGAACCACGAAACTCAGAGCTATGGCTGAGAAATTAAGGGCCCGTTCTCTTTATTGTTTTCAACCCGTTTTCTGTTTTTAATTTTTCAAAACAGTGAAAACGCGTTCTCTTACCTATTTTCGAAAACGTGTTTTTGAAAATGAAAAAAAAGAATTCACTGAAAATGGAAAATGACTGAAACCACGTTTTGGAAAAAATAACCCCAAAACACGGTCTTTTGCCAAAACACGAGAAACAAATTTCCTTCTCATTTCCTCTCTCTCTCTCTCTCCTCCCGNCTCTCACTCCCCTCCCGTAATCTGTTCCCCTCGCAAAAATCCACAACCCAAATCCCTTTGAGCCCGTGCGGCCGAATCGAAGGGTTCTCTACAGGATTTTCAAATTAAGGTTTTGAGCTCGTCTTTCCAAATCGAAGGCTTCTCTATGGGCTGTTGATATCAAGGTTTCACATATGATAATCTAGATTTCTTTGCTTGTGATAATCTTTGGTTCTTTCTTTGCTATTCTATATCAAATTTATTGGGTTAAGTTTTGCCTCTGTTTTTTAATTTGTTGGTGTAAAAATTGAGGCGGTTCGAAAATAGTGGTGGCGGTGAATTCGTAGGGGGAAGGGTAGATGGTGGTGAGGCGTAATTGCAGGTTATGTGTGGGCGTTGTTTTTTGGCTATTCTTATTGTTTGGGGGTCCCTGTTTGGTGGGGGAGGTGGGAATGATTTCTCAACATTTATTTCCCTAATTTTGGAGAAAACTGTAAAGCAAAGAACAAAAATCCTCAACATCCACCCTGTAGAATAACCGGAAAGTTACAGGCTTGACATTAAAGTTTCCTTGCTGGCTCTCATCCACCCTGTAGAATTACTACTTTATGAAATCCTCAACTAATCTTGTTTGATAAACCTTCCCAGTTTTCTAATTGGTATTCTTTTCTTTGATCCTTCTGCAGATTCACTGTCCATCTTCATATATGCAAATAAGCATTTTTTGCATATATACTTTTTACAAATATGATAAAAATGGAAATCATATATACAGTTACTGACATGAGAATATGTGCATATCTAAGGAATTGAATTAGAAAAGAAATCATAGTTAGCGTACTTGAAGGATAAAAACCTCTACTGTTGCCTTTTATTCTTCATAGTTTCAGGCTGCATATGAGGATTGGTGCCTCGAAGAATTATAGCTAACTTTTTTAAAATGCTCAATATAGCTGATATGTGAGGAATATAAATGAATAGGGTGCTTAGTTAGCATGCTGGATTGGTCAATACTATGAGGAACTATTTGATATTTGTATTGGTATTTTTAATAAGAGCAAGTTCTAGGATTTATTTATGCTTTCTTGGTATTTTTTTTGCAACTGGGCTTCCATATGTGTTTGGTGATGTAAGGCTACTTTGATTTTTTTTTTTTTTTTAAATAGTCATTGGGGCAAAAATGTACTGGGATGTCGTAGTTGTGTTAGTTTTGTGCTGTGAAAATTTAGAATGTCTTTCTTATAGTAGCCATTAATGTTCTTGGAAAATGGAAAACTTGGGCATTATCTCCTGTACTTGGCAGTGTGAGAATTTGATATTGCAATTCAAGTTCTGATTTTCATAAATTTCTTTATTATCTTACTATTCATAGTTGCTCCTATTAATTCTTTATATTAGTGTGATTTTTACTTAGAGTTGATGCATGATTGATATATGCCTATGGAATGACTTATACATTTCGTGATAATTTTATTTATGTTGAATATGGACCGTGGGTGGTCACAAAGTTAGGAATAAGGAACCAATGTCATGGTCGGATGAGAACGAACTTGCTTTTATCGAAATTATTTACGAGAGAGTGAAATCAAACGCATTGCAATGTTCTACATTCACGAAAGACGAATGTGGTAGAATCAATGAAACTATGGTAGCTTCAACAAAAGTGGATTACGGCATAGATAGATTAAAGGGACAGTGGAACTGTTTACGCTTTAGACAGGTTATTCGCTGAGTATTAAGAGGAGAATTTGGTGTTCCAAGATATACCGGAGTCNCAAAATTTATATGTTATTTAATATTATATTAACATTAAACAATTAAATTTTTTTGAATAATCGGATTTCTTGAATAGAATATTATTTAAAAAATTCTCAAAATTTCAAAGTAAACGCGTTTTCCATTTTTATGATTTTTGGAAACAGTTTTTCAGAAAGGCAAAAAGAACGCATTTTCAGAAATTTCAAAACAGACACTCAAAACACAAAACGAATTCAAAACTCAACACACAAAACTGAAACACGAAGAGAATGTCCCCTAAACGGTTTTGTTGGAAACTTCTTCTCCATTCACTATCGATGAAGCTAAGGTTACTAGAGATTCATCTTCCCAAATTTCTCTTACCCCGTAGAAATGTATGCTTGGATTGAAATAAAACACCTCTCTCTCTCTCTCTCTGATTATATATACTTCATAATGGTTTTTTGTGCTTGCTACAATTTTTGGGGCAGGGGAGATATTGCTGAATGAATAAATGAACAAACTTCTTGTTTTTACAATCTAGTAATTAATCAATATACTTATCTTCAATGTGTTAGGTCCCTGATTAGATTTTTGGTGGTGATAGGGGGTGTGTTTCTATATATATATATATATAGAGAGAGAGAGAGAGAGAGAGAGAGAGTGATGATGAAAATGGCAGCTAAGGCCATGGTGGCTGCACTGCCACTGGGGTGGGTTGGGGGTAGGGTTTTTTTTATTTTGAAGAAATACCCGTGAATAACCGGTTGAAAAGGCCAATATTCAAGTTTAACCTTTGACCAAGAAATAGCATTAAAAAAAAAACAAAAACTAATTTTAAATACCTAAAAAGGCAAAAATACCCATGTTACACGTGAAACCTCCTCCATCATTCCAAAGAAACTGACCAAATCCTCTCCACCATAAGTGAAGCAAAAAAAAGGGACCAAAAAAGAGCAAAAAAGGGACCTCCACACACCGAGAAGTTTTGAACTATTGTTGTGATTTTCTTCGAATTTTTTTGAAATGGTTTGAGTTTTTTTTGTTTGATTTTATTGTAGATCGGGTAGAATAAGTGATTAGAGTCATTGTTAGTGTTATCTAAATTGATTTATGAAGCTTTGGTGGCCCGAAATGGATCGTGCCAGAAATCGAATAGAAAACCGCTGTTAACAACGGTTCTTGTTTGGGCCTAAACAGCGGCCCAAACTTTTTTTATTTTAAAATAAGATTGTGTCGCCTGTTAAGGTCAAGAAACTTTTTTTTTTTATTTTATTTTATTAAGAAATTAATTTTAAAAAATTAAATATTTTACGTAATTCTATAA